CCGGGCGTGGTGGCTCACGCCTATAATCCCAGCACTTTGGGAGGCCGAGGCAGGTGGATCACTAGGTCAAGAGATCGAGACCATCCTGGTCAACGAGGTGAAACCCCGTCTCTACTAAAAATACAAAAATTAGCTGGGCATAGTGGTGCGCGCCTATAGTCCCAGCTATTTGGGAGGCTGAGGCAGGAGAATTGCTTGAACCCAGGAGGTGGAGGTTTCGGTGAGCTGAGATCCTGCCATTGCACTCCAGTCTCGGTAACAACAGCAAAACTTCGTCTCAAAAAAAAAAAAAAAAAAAGAAAAGAAATAACTGAAACTGGGTAATTTATAAAGAAAAGAGGTTTAATTGGCTCACAGTTCTGCAGGTTGTAAAGGAAGCATCTGCTCAGCTTCCGGGAGGACTCTCCAAGAAGGGATTATAGGCATGAGCCACCATGCCCTGCCTTTTTTTTTCAGACAGGATCTCCTTCTGTTGCCTAGGTTGCAGTGAAATAGTGTGATCACAGCTCACTGCATCCTTGATCCCCAGGCTCAGGTATTTCTCCCACCTCAGCCCCCCAAGTGGCTGGGACTACAGGTGCACACCATTGGCCCAGCTAATTTTTTTTTTTGTAGAGATGGGGTTTTGCCATATTGTCCAGGTTGGTCTCAAACTCCTGGGCTCAAGTGATCCTCCAGCCTCGGCCTCCCAAAGTGCTGGGATTATAGGCTATGAACCTCTGTGCCTGGCCCCTAAACTCTTTCCAACCCACTGTTCTACCATGCTTTGTGTATCAGCTCTCCACGCTGTATGACTTCATTGCTTTAGTTATTGTTCTGTTATGTGCAGCCTAGGCATTCCCAATGACTCAGGGTCCACATTAGACTTTACAGATGGCCTCATTTTCTACGACTTTTGCCAGTGAGGAAGACAGTCCTAGAAAGTGACAGCTAGGTTGAGACCTAAAGAGTAAGAATTATTCAAGACCAAGTAACGGGTGGGAGGAATACGGATGTTCCAAAAGGGAGTGTTTGTTGAAATGATCAGGAGTTGGAAAATCTTAAGCAATTTTTTTTCTTTAGAGATGGATTCTCTGTCTGTCACCCACACTGGAGTTTAGTGGTGTGATCACAGCTCAGTGTAGCCTTGAACCCCTCACCTCAAGGGATCCTCCTGCTTCAGCCTCCCGGAATTACAGGCATGAGCCATCATGCTTGGCTAATTTATTTTTTAAGTTTTTGTATAAACCTGGCCAGGTGCGGGGGCTCATGCCTGTAATCCCAGCACTTTGGGAGACCTAGGTGGGTGGATCACCTGAGGTCAGAAGTTGGAGACCAGCCTGGTCAACATGGAGAAATCTCATCTCTACTAAAAGTACAAAAATTTGCCAGGTGTTGTGGTGCACACCTGTAATTTCAGCTACTTGGGAGGCTGAGGCAGGAAAATCGCTTAAACTTGGGATGCGGAGGCTACAGTGAGCTGAGAGTGTAACACTGCACTCTAGCCTGGGTGACAGAACAAGACTCTGTCTAAAAAATAAAAATAAAATAAAATAAATAAATAAATACAATTTTTTTTTGGTAGAGAATGGATCTTGCTAGGTTGCCTAGGCTGGTCTCCAACTCCCGACCTCAAGCAGTCCTTCCACCTCAGCCTCCTGAGTAGCTGGGATTATAGGCATGAGCCATCATGTTTGACCCTTTTAAGCATTTTTTTTTTTTTTTTTTTTTTTTGCAGGTTCACTCCAGGTACAATCTGGGAAATGCAGACAGGGAGACCATTTAGGTGCAGTTTAGGAGCAATGAGTGGAGCAGATCCAGAATGGAAGAAGTGAGCATGAGGAAAAGTGGGCAGAAGTCAGGGGCATGAGAGACGAGAGGAGACAGAAAGGAGCCGAGGAGAAAGTGGGGAGAGGATCAGGCTTGGTGGGCGTGGTCACACATTCTAAGATAATTTTGAGGTCTTCATAGGGGATATCAAGATGGCTGTTAGATAGGGTTTGAAGTCAGGAGAGAGACGTAGGTTAAGAGATAGCCTTGGGTTCATGTTACAGAGACCCAGGACGACAGTGGTTTATAAAAAAGAAAGCGTTGGTTCTCTGTCATGTAATTACACCAAAGCGGGCAGTTCAGGGCTGCTGTGCTGGCCACAGAGATTCAGCCTCCTTCCATCTCCTAGCTCAGCCAACCCTGGGATGTTGCCCTTGTCCACGTTGTCTCACCATCATGTCTGGATTCTAAACAGCAGGAGAGAGAAAGGAGAGTGGGGAAGAGGGGCCAGAACGAGTAGCATGGTCGCCCTTAGCCTCAAGGGGGTCTGGGAAATGCAGCCTTTCCTCTGTGTGGCCACAAGCCCAGTTAAAAAGAATGGTGCTGGCCAAGTGCATGGCACACGGCTGGAATCTCAGCACTTTGGGAGGCTGAGGCAGGTGGATCACTTGAGCCCAGGAGTTCAAGACCAGCTTGGACAACATAGTGGAACCCCATCTCTACAAAAAATACAAAAATTAGCCTGGTGTGGTGGCGCACACCTGTAGTCCCAGCTACTTAGAAGGCTGACATGGGAGGATTACCCAAACCCAAGGAGGTCAAGGCTGCAGTGAGCTCTGATTGTACCACTGCACTCCAGTCTCAGCAATAGAGCAAGACTCTGTCTCAAAAAAGAAAAAAAAAGGCCGGGTGTGGTGGCTCACGCCTGTAATCCCATCACTTTGGGAGGCCGAGGCAGGTGGACCATGAGGTCAGGAGTTCAAGACCAGCCTGGCCAAGATGGTGAAACCCCGTCTCTACTAAAAATACAAAAGTTAGCCAGGTGTGGTGGTGGGCACCTGTAGTCCCAGCTACTTGGGAGGCTGAGGCAGAGAATTGCTTGAAGCTGGGAGGTGGAGGTTGCAGTGAGCTGAGATTGTGCCACTGCACTCCAGCTTGGGCAACAGAGTGAGACTCCATTTCAAAAAAAATTAGTCCATTCTCATGCTACTGATAAAGACATACCTGAGACTGGGTAATTTATAAAGGAAAGAGGTTTGATTGACTCACAATTCAGTATGATCAGGGAGGCATCAGGAAACTTATACAGTCACGGCAGAAGGGGAAGCAAACACAGCCTTCGTCACATGGCGGCAGCAAGGAGAAGTGCCAGACGAAAGGGGGAAAAGCCCCTTATAAAGCCATCAGATCTTGTGAGAACTTACTCACTATCATGAGATCAGCATGGAGGTAACCATGCCCATGATTCAGTTGCATCCCAGGACACATGGGGATTATGGGAATTACAATTCAGGATGAGATTTGGGTGGGGACACAGCCAAACCATATCAGAGTTAGTGCTGTTCCTTTAGAATAATGGGAGAATAGATCTAGGAGGACCGCATCTGCCACTGTTGGAGATGGAGACGCGGGGATCATCAGGGTAAGAGATAGCAATTGGGGTCTGGCGCGGTGGCTCATGCCTGTAATCTCAGCACTTTAGGAAACTGAAGTGAGGGGTGGATCACTTGAGGTCAGGATTTCTAGACCAGCCTGATCAACATGGTAAAACCCCGTCTCTAGTAAAAAAAAAAAAATACAAAATTAGAAATTAGGCCAGGTGCAGTGGCTCATGCCTGAAATCCCAGCACTTTTGGAGGCTGAGGCAGGCAGATCACCTGAGGTCCAGAGTTCAAGACCAGTCTGGGCAACATGGTGAAACTCTGTCTCTACTAAAAATACAAAAATTAGCCAAGCATGGTGGTGGATGTCTTTAATCCCAGCTACTCAGGAGGCTGAGGCAGGAGAATTGCTCAAACCTGGAGGGCAGAAGTCGCAGTGAGCTGAGATCATGCCATTGCACTCCAGCTTGGGTGACAAGAGCGCTTTATTTCCCAGGTGGTCTGGTAATATAAAGATGACTCTGCAGATAGCAAGTTAGACTCTGCCTTAGGAAGATTGCATGCACAAATCCATGTATCAATGCATCCGTTTATCTATCAATGCGCATCCATTTATTCATCCATCCATCCATCCATTTATCATCCATCCATTTATTCATAATCCATCCATTCATCCATCCGTTCATCCATCCATCCATCTACCTGACCATCTTTCATTTTACAGCATCCTCAAATGTCACAGCTAGAAAAGTCCCAATAGAACATCTTGTTCAATTTTTTGCTCTTTTTGTACATGAAAAAACTACATGAGGCCCCATCATACAACACTCCCTTTTCTGAAGTCTCTAAGTGAGTAAGGTGATGGAGCCAGATCATGAACCAGGGCCTTGTCCCTGTGTTCCTTCCACACTGCAGTACCGCTCCTCAGCCCATGGCACGGAAGCATCTAAGCTCTGAACACCTACCTCTATCTTCTGTTTCTCTGAGGTCTGTTCACTCCTCGTGGGCAGAGTCCCTACAACCCAGTGCTGTCAGCTGATGCTGCTGCTGATAAGGATGTTGTTACCCAGCTCATGAGTGACAAAGATGGGACAGGGCCCTGGTCTCTGGTGTCAGTTTTGTGTCCATATGTTAGCCCACCCTTACCTCTATCCTCCATCCTGTCACTAGAGAGACTGTGAGCTCCTTGAGAGCAGGCCCCAGGTCTGATTCCTCCCCTCCCAGTGCCCAGCTCAGAGACGGTGCTTAGGCTGCTGGCCAGTGAGTACACCTGGGGGAAGAGGCTGGACTAGGCTCTCGGTCCCTCTCCCTGGTGCTTCTAGCTGCTCCTTCAACTTCCAACATCTCAACAATCAGAGGGGAGGTCAAGGGATTGGTTGGGAGGCTCAAGTGTTCCTCAGCCCTCTGTGCAGGAAGGAGTGCATGTTTCCTGGCTGTGGGTGAACTTCCTGGCCAGCATTAAACAACACAGCATCCTGCCCCCTGTGCGGGGCTGCCTGCCTGCCTCGGCACTTCTGGAGGAGGGTCTCAGTGTGGTGTAGAGTATCTGACACTTTCTGACTTGCGGAGCATCATTCCCTTTTCTTGTTAACCAAGAGCAGAGTTTTAGGCCGATGCTTCCAGTGGGGAACAGAATTTAGATCTCAAGAATTTTGTTTACATTGCATTTATTTTCATGTTTTACCTTCTACTGATGGCAAATGAGAGGTTTTCCATTTACAGAAGTGATACCCAAAAAGATTCCTATTACAATAATTTTATCAAGTGAATAATGAGACGTTTTAAAGAAAAACATAAAGCAAATAATAGTACAGGTGGTAAACCAATGTGGCAAAATTACTAATATTCAAGGGTGAAGTTTGGCCAAGCATGGTGGCTCATGCCTGTAATCCTGACACTTTGGGAGGTGGGGATGAGTGGCTCTCTTGAGCCCAGGAGTTCAAGGCCAGCCTGGGCAACATAGCAAGACACCGTCTCTAAAAAAAAAAAAAAAAATAGCCAGGTATGGTGGCACACACTTGTAATTACAGTTATTGGGGAGATCGAGCTAGGAAGATCGCTTACACCCAGGAGTTCAAGGCTGCTGTGAGCTGATTGTGCCACTGCACTCCAGCCTGGACAATACAGTGAGACCCTGTTTCAAAGAAAAAAAAAAATGGCCGGGTGCAGTGCTCATGCCTGTAGTCCTAGCATTTTGGAAGGCTAAGGCTGCTGGATCACTTGAGCCCAGGAGTTGGAAACCTGCCTGGGCAGTATAGTGAGACCCTGTCTCTACAAAAAAATACAAAAATTAGCTGGGCGTGGTGGTATGCGTCTGTAGTCCTAGCTACTCTAGAGGTTGAAATGGGAGGATCGCTTGAGCCTAGGAGTTTGAGGCTGCAGTGAGCTGAGATTGTGTCACTACACTACAGCCTGGGTGACAGAATGAGACTCTGTCTTAAAAAGAAAAGAAAAGAAAAAGGATGATGTTTGGGAACTTGGACTCCCAGGAAAATGGAAATTCCATCTGCTACTCACCTGCCCGTTTCTCCTAAAGGGGAGAGCAGGGTACTCGGGGCCCCATTTCTATGGGGTGGACATTAGAAGTAAGCCTAGCTGCTGCAAATCTGTTTCTCCGGATACTCCAGCAAGCTGGGAGGGACGATGACTAGAAGGCACAGTTTGGAGCTGCCCTGCTCTGGGACAACGTTCCTCTCCACATTGGATGAAACTCAGTTCTCCCTGACTGGGGTCTTGCTCGTCATGGAGTGGCGAGAGTCCAAAGCTGAGGTGTGTGCAGATGGAGGAGGATGGGCAGAGGAGCCTTTGGGTTTTCTGACTCCAGGTCCCCACTCCAGCATGACAGCGCTGCTCCAGCTTGGCTCAGCAAGTTCCTCCTCACAGTTCGGGGGTCAAAGTCACAGTTCATTTGTAATAAAATGCTCCTCTGCCTGGTCTGGTCCTCTCTTTGTGTATTTTCCTGGAGGACCTCACTGGCCAAGGAGAACAGGATCTGTGGCTCTGGGAAGCTGGATTCCTGCCATCTCCTGCCAGCACAACTGACAGCTGTCATCGTCACGCCAAGGCTGTTCAGCACCGCGGGACCCTTTTGCTCTGGTATTGGGGCTTTGGTAAACAGTGAGGGAAAGTGGAGGTGGCTGGTGGATGCCATTTCCTGCCTAGCTGGTACCTTCGCTGCTTCATCTGGATTCGATCTTGAAGGCTTCTGGCCTGGAGTGGGCCCCACCCCCAGGTCTCTGAGCCACAGCCCAGGCAGCTGAGCAGAGGCACTGCTGGGCTTCCCCTGGTCCCACAGCCTGGCCACCACCTGGACCCAGGGACAGGGAATCCAGATGGAAGGGGCCTGGGAGGCACATCTTCCCTGCAGTAGCCTCAGGCTCAACCCTAATGCTAGATCCTGGGGTCCCTGGTCCCACTGAGGCAGTGCATTCCTTGAGGTCTCTGGGGGACCCTGGGGATTCAGAACCCCACACTGGTCCGGCCTTCACGCTTCCAAAAAGCTGAGATCTGCTCCAAGGTGACCCGTGGCTGGAGGCCCCACTCAGGATCCGGGCTCCCTGGCCGCTGTCTCCTGGCCTGGGGACTCCCAGACTGGGCACTGGCCTCTGGCCTCTGCTCAGGTTCAGCCCAGCTCACCAGTCCTGTGGTAGGGGGCCTCCTCTCCCAGGGCTGGGGCCCCCAGAAGGTACTCCGGGCTGGGACCTCTGGTGGGGTCTGGGGGCCCAAGGAGCTGGGAGCAGAGTGCAGGGCTGAGGGGGCAGGTGGGTCAGTCGCTCGGGCCTCCAAGGCGCCCATCTGGGTGGGAGGCTCAGGGGCCCGGTCCGTCAGCAGGGGGACTGCAGAGCCGTACCAGTCCTCAGAGCGCTCTCGGGGGGTGCCCATGGGCTCAATCCACAGCTCTCCTCCTGGGCGCCACACCAGGGTGGGTGCATGGTGGCTGGGGTCTGGGTGGAGAGTGCGGCGGAACAGGCGTTCAGCCAACACAGCGGTGGTGAGGATGAAGAGCGCAGCCAGAGCGGCCAGGGCCAGCATGATAGGGATGCAGGGCCCACAGGGCAGCAAGGGCCACGGGGCTGCCTCCCACGTGGGGGTCCCCTCCACGTGCCCAGAGGGTGGCTCTGGAGTCAACAGCATCTGGGAGACACAGGGGTGAGAAGAGGAAGCAAATGAGGCAGAGGGGGCACAACCAAGCTGAGAGAGAGGCAGCAGGTGTCCAGGAAAGCCTGGGAGAGGGGCTGGGCAGGGGGGCTGACGCCTGGAATCCCAGCACTTTAAGAGGCCGAGGTGGGAGGATTGCTTGAGCCCAGGAGTTCAAGACCAGCCTGGACAACACAGTGAAACCCCATCTCTACAAATAATTTAAAAACTAGCTGGGTGTGGTGGCTCACATCTGTAGTCCCAGCTACCCAGGAAGCCGAGGTGGGAGGATCACTTGAGCCCAGGGGTTCAAGGCTGCAGTGAGCATGGATTGTGCCACTGTCGACCAGCCTGGGTAAAGAGCAAGACCCTTTCTCAAAAAAGAAAAAGAACATTCTGGAGAGACAGAGGAGCAAGGGGGACCAGAAAGGGTAAGCGTGAGCCAAGTGGGGCCGGAGCACAGGCAGCCTACCTGGGCGGCGCGCAGCCAGTCCCCCCAGCCTTTCCACAAGCCACATTTTCCACCCGGACCCTAGGCGCCACAGACAAGAAAGGCCTCCAGGGCCTCTTTCCTCCCCACTTGGCCCCCTCAAGTCTTGCTCAGACCTAGAAAGGAAGTGGTGGGTAAAGAAATAAGAACCTCCCCTCCCATCGGCTCCTCTGGGTGTGTGCTCCCCCCATCCCACACCCCCACCACCTCCCACCAGCAGCTCCGTTGGCCCCTTGGGGCTCCTTCGCCCCTCACCATTCTCCTCAGACTTGATCTTGCTTTCATAGGCTCCGTGGAATCTGCTGCTGGGTGGCTGGTCCTCCAGAGGTGCCTTTATACCCTCCTGGACTCTTCAGCTCTGCCCAGGCTTGGTCCTGTCTCTCTCTCTCTTGCTTGTCTCTGCACACCTCCCTCGGTCCCCCACATCCTCCATCTACAGGGGCCTCCTGCACCCCTCAGCTTACCTTGGATCAGTCCCCGGGCTCCTCTCCCTCCTGGAACCACTCTTCCTGGTGCCAGACTAGAAGGCGCAGGTTCGGAGGGTGCAGGGCGGTCGCCTTTCAGACGTAGAGGCCCGGCCTCCGATGAAGGCGGAAGGGAGGGCACCACTTGTTGCTGGGCAACTGTGCCCCAACTTGCCTGCCCCCGGGGAGTGTTTGTTTCCAAAGCAACCCAAGGGGATGTGGTCACTGTGGTGAGGAGGCATTTCCTGGGGTAGGGTGGGGCTGGAATGGGCAGTGGCTCTGTTGAACTTAGTGTCACCCCACAGCCAGGCCCAGGCCCCAGAACATTCACACAGAAGCTGAGAAAGAGGACACAGGAGCCAGGCGTGGTGGCTCATCTCTGTAATCCCAGCGTTTTGGGAGAGCAAGGCGGGTGGATCACCTGAGGTCAGGAGTTCGAGACCAGTCTGGCCAACATGGCAAAACTCCATCTCTACTAAAAAATACAAAAATTAGCTGCGTGTGGTGGTGGTCGCCCATAATCCCAGCTACTCGGAAAGCTGAGGCAGGAGAATCACTTGAACCCGGGACATGGAGGTTACAGTGAGCTGAGATCCGGCTACCACACTCTAGCCTGGGCGACAGAGCAAGACACCATCTCAAAAAAAAAAAGGACACAGAGACTCTGGCCTGTACATTCTCAGAGAACCATGGTGCCTACCCTGCTGCTCCTCCTGGGAGGCTGCCTGCCCCGTCCTGCCTTGTCCTATCCACGGTGCCTCCCAGATCTGCTCCTGCCATTCAGCCCCTTCAGACACCCCCTGCTTGGCCTGCCTCCTTCACATTTTTTTTAAATTTAATTTTTGTTGGGTAGAGACGGGGTCTTGCTGTGTTGCCCAGGCTGGTCTCAAGCTCCTGGCCTCAAGAGATCCTCCCACCTCAGCCTCCCAAAGTGCTGGGATTATAGGTGTGAGTCACCTCTCTGGCCCTTGCCTCAGACTTTTAATTAACATCAGTCTCTCCCTTCAGACCATTTAGCCTCCATTGTGGTTGGAAATATCAGTGAGGTGAGCTTGGGGAACAAAAACGGCAGGCCTCTGGGAGGAGTCCTGGGTATAAAAACCCCGGCCATCCTACCTGCTCCCCATGTCTGTTCCTCTCTCCTGGGGCTGAGGGTGGGAGGAGCCTGGAGCAGTGTGACAAGATGTCATCAGGCTCTGCAGTCCGGGAGACGTTCTGCAATTCTCTAGTTTGACTCACTCATCCACAGATGACAAAAGTAAGGCCTAAAGAAAGGAGGTGACGTGCCCAAAGTCGCATGACCAATGTATGTGTGGGTGAGCATGCGGTGGCCGGGTGGCAGAAGAATAGACAGAAATCCCTGGGCTTGGCCGGGCGTGGTGGCTCATACCAGTAATCCTAGCACTTTGCGAGGCCAAGACCGGTGGATCACCTGAGGTCAGGAGTTTGAGACCAGCCTGGCCAACACAGTGAAACCCTGTCTCTACTAAAAATACAAAAATTAGCTGGGTTTAGTAGCAGGGGCCTGTAGTCCCAGCTACTAGGGAGGCTGACGCAGGAGAGTCACTTGAACCTGGGAGGCAGAGGTTGTGGTGAGCCGAGATCGTGCCATTGCACTTAAGCATGGGCAACAGAGTGAGACTCTGTCTCAAAAAAAAAAAAAAAAAAAGAGAGAGAGAGAAATCCCTGGGCTGGCACATTCCCAGCATACTACACAGCTCTTAATAGCTGTCCATATTTTCTTCTGCAAAGCGACAGTCACTTAACAACAAAAAAAGACCAGCTATACTTAGTTATTCTATAAACTTTAAGAAGACAGGCCCAGGCAAAAACATTTATGTTCAGCAATTTGTTTCAGTTATTTCTTCTTACTTGGAAATAATCCACGTACCTAATGAATATCTAATAATTTAATAAAACATACTTGAAGATTAAAAATTACATGAAAAGTTTATTTATAAGAAATTATTGCCAAGTGTGGTGGCTCAGCCTGGGTGACAGAACAAGACTCCAACTAAAAAAAAAAAGATTCTTTACATAGTCTTGTATCTCCCTACAGATACATGTTAATTTCAAAGGAAAGTAGTAGCTAGGCACGGTGGCTCATGCCTGTAATCCCAGCACTTTGGGATGCTGAGGCAGGCAGATCACCTGAGGTCAGGAGTTCAAGACCAGCCTGACCAACACAAAGAAACCCTGTCTCTACTAAAAACAGAAAAAATTAGCCAGGCGTGGTGACTCATCCCTGTAATCCCAGCTACTCCAGAGGCTGAGGCAGGAGAATCACTTGAAAACCCAGGAGGCTGAGGTTGTGGTGAGCTGAGATCGAGCCATTGCACTCCAGCCTGGGCAAAAAGAGCGAAACTCCGTCTCAAAAAAAAAAAAAAAAAAAAAAAGGAGGGTGGGGGCAGGACGTGGTGGCACATGCCTGTAATCCCATCACTTTGGGAGGCTGAGGCAGGCAGATCACGAAGTCAGGAGTTAGAGACCAGCCTGGCCAATGTGGTGAAACCCCGTCTCTACTAAAAATACAAAAGTTAGCTGGGTGTGGTTCCATTTGCCTATCGTTCTAGCTACTCCAGAGGCTGAGGCAGGAGGATCACTTGAGGCCAGACGTTCAAGGTTACAGTGAGCTAGATCATGCTACCTGGACAACAGAAAAAGACCCTGTCTCTGACAAGAAAAAATTACACAAACACAGATCATTTTGTTTGAAACTGGATTTATAGTCTTATAACCTTTGTGTCAGACCCTGCTACCTTAAAACATATACTAGAGATAAATATAAAACTGTCTGACCAGTAAACCTAAGCAAAAATGTATGCTGCCAATTCTGAAGACATTTCTACTTTTATTTTACCAATACTTCTTCTTTTTTTTTTTTTTTTTTGAGACAGAATTTTGCTCTGTTGTCCAGTCCGGAGTGCAGTGCCACGATTTTAGCTCACTGCAACCTCTGCATCCCAGGTTCAAACAATTCTCCTGCCTCACCCTCCCAAGTAGCTGAGATTACAGGCACTTGCCTCCACACTAGGCTAATTTCTTTGTATTTTTAGCAGAGACAGGGTTTTGTCATGTTGGCCAGGCTGATCTTAAACTCCTGACCTCAGGTGATCCACCCTCCTCAGCCTTCCAAAGTGATGGGATTACAGGTGTGAGCCACAGTGCCCAGCCTATTCTACCAATACTTTTAAAACCAGCTTATTTATTAAAGATTAAAGATTTACTGAAGTCAGAGGAAGTAAAAGACATTTGGATTAATTACTTTCTCTCTTTCTCTTTATACACACACACACACACACACACACACACAGAGTAATTTATTATTTATATATATTTTCTTTTTTAACAGACAGAGGGCATCCTACTCTGTCATCCAGAGTAGAGTGCTGTGGCACAATCATAGCTCACTGTACCTTCAAACTCCTGGGCTCAAGTGATCATCTTACCTCAGCCTCTTGAGTCAGTGGGACTACAGGCACAGGCCACTATGCCCAGCTAATTTTTAAATTTCTTGTAGAGATGGGGTCTTGCTATGTTGCCCAGGCTAGTCTTGAACTCCTAATTTCTAGTAATCCTCCCACCTTGGCCTCACAAAATTCTGGGATTATAGGTGTGAGCCACTGCACCCGGCTATATTTACAACTATATGAGCACTCAAATATGTAAATAGAATTTCTTAAGGGATTTCTGGCCACCATGCCAGATTTTTTGCAAATACATGTACATATGCATAAACACATTTAAACACACATACAGGCCTGGCATACTGGCTCATGTCTGTAATCCTAGCACTTTGGGAGGTCAAGGCGGGAGGACTGCTTGAGCCCAGGAGTTTGAGACCAGCCTGGGTAAATGTAGTGAAACCCTGGCCTGGAGCAGTAGCTCGTGCCTGTAATCCCAGTCCTTTGGAGGCTGCGGTGGGCAGATGAGGTCTGGAGTTTGAGACCAGCCTGGCCAATACGGCCAACATGATGAAACCCATCTCTACTAAAAATACAAAAACTAGCCGGGCGTGGTGGCAGGCATCTGTAATCCCAGCTACTTGGGACGCTGAGGCAGGAGTATCCCTTAAACCTGGGAGGCAGAGGTTGCAGTGAGCCAAGATTACACCACTATACTCCAGCCTGGGCGAAAGAGTGAGACTGTCTCAGAACAAAACAAAACAAAACAGAACAAAAACAAAAACAAAAAAGCAAAACATAGTGAGACCCCTGATCTCTACTTAAAAAATAAAAATAAAATAAAAACACACAAAAGGCAAAAAAAAAAAAAAAAACCCAAAAACACATTTACACACACATAAAGGTCTTGTGACTTTCACTATAGAATGTAAGTCATGAGATAGTAACACAAGCTCATCAGTTTATTTTATTTTATTGTTATTTTATTTATTTATTATTTATTATTATTTTTTTTAAGACGGAGTCTCACTCTGTCACCCTGGATGGAGTGCAATGGTGCGATCTCGGCTCACTGCAACCTCCGCCTCCTGTGTTCAAGTGATTCTCCTGCTTCAGCCTCCCGAGTAGCTGAGACTACAGGTGTGCACCACCACGCCCAACTAATTTTTGTGTTTTTAGTCTCACCGTGTTGGCCAGGATGGTCTCAATCTCCTGACCTCATGATCCACCTGCCTCAGCCTCCCAAAGTACTTGGATTACAGGGGTGAACCATGGTGCCCAGCCTATTTTTATTTTTTTGAGACAGTCTTGCTCTGTCGCCCAGGTCAGAGTGCAGTGGTGCAATCTCAGCTCACTACAACCACTGTCTCCCAGGATCAAGTGATTCTCCTGACTCAGCCTCCCCAGTAGCTGGGATTACAGATGTGGGCCACCACGCCCAGCTAATTTTTGTGTTTTTTAGTAGAGACAGGGTTTTGCCATGTTGGCCAGGCTGGCCTTGAACTCCTGGCCTCAGGTGATCTACCCGTCTTGGCCTCCCAAAGTGCTGGGATTACAGACATGAGCCACCGTGCCCCACAAGCTCACCAGTTTATAAAAGACAGTTGGATCCAAATTATATTTCTGATAAAACCGAACCTGTTCACATGGCTAAGATTTATTTCCCCTGATAAGTAATCTGATTAAGGCTGCGGACCAAAATTTTGGGTAAAGCAGTTTTATGGCAGTTTGATTTTTTTAAAAACCAAAAAACAAAAACTCTTTTACACATTAATTTTTTTTTTTTTCTGTTTCGGCTGAGTCTGGTGGCTGGTGCCTGCAATCCCAGCACTTTGGGAGGCCAATGTGGGAGGATTGCTTAAACCCATAAGCTCAAGACAATTCTGGGTAACAAAGTGAGATCTCACCTGGACAAAAAGTTTAAAAATTGCTGGGCACGGTGACTCACGCCTGTAATCCCAGAACTTTGGGAGGCAGAGGCAGGTGGATCTCCCGAGGTCAGGAGTTCTAGACCAGCCTGGCCAACACAGTGAAACCCCGTCTTTACTAAAAATACAAAAATTAGCTGGGAGTGTTGGCAGGCACCTGTAATCTCAGCTACTCAGGAGGCTGAGGCAAGAGAATCACTTGAACCCAGGAGGCGGAGGTTGCAGTGAGCGGAGGTCACCCCATTGCACTCCAGCCTGGAGGACAAGAGCTAAACTCCAGCTCAAAAAAAAAAAAAAAAAGAAAAAAGAAAGAAAAAGAAAAATTACCTGGGCATAGTGGCACATGCCTGTAGTCCCAACTCAGAACTCAAGTGGGGAGGTTGAGGCAAGAGAATTGCTTGAACTCAGGAGGTTGAGGCTGCAATGAGCTGTGCTCTTGCCAGTGCACTCCAGCCTAGGCATGAGAGTGAGATTGTTTCAAAAAATTTTTTTTTCTCAGTTTCAAATGAGTCTAGGGTTACATTTTCCATTGTTTACATTTTAGCCAGGATTGGCCAAATTGTATAAGAAAAACAAAATCTCTGAGTACCCTGGAACTAGTAACACATCTACCTTTTGTTTACTCGTCTGGTTTGATTAGCAAATGTGGGCAAGAAAGAATTTTAGCAGGTGTTTTGTTTTATTTTGGTTTTGGTTTTGCTTTTTGGCCTCTGTGTCGCAGAAAAAGTCAACATTTTTATGCTGGACCGAGACATCTTACATCATTGCCCTGGCTCAAGGTTTCCACCTGCTTGATCTGAGAGAGCCTAACTTTTATAAATGTTTATCTAGTTATTTTTTTCTTCCTTTCTCTCTCTCTCTCTTTTTTTTGAAGATGGAGTCTCACTCTGTCGCTCAGACTGGAGTGTAGTGGCATGATCTCAGCTTACCACAACCTCTGCCTCCTGGGTTCAAGCAATTTTCCTGCCTCAGCCTCCTAAGAGGCTGGGACTACAGGCGCATGCTACTACACCTGGCTAATTTTTTTTTGAGATGGAGTTTTACTCTTGTTGCCCAGACTGGAGTGCAATGGCATGATCTTGGCTCACTGCAACCTCCACCTCCCGGGTTCAAGCGATTCTCCTGCCTCAACCTCCCGAGTACCTGGGATTACAGGGATGCGCCACCATGTCCCTCGAATTTTTTGTCTTTAGTAGAGACGGGGTTTCTCCTTGTTAGTGAGGCTGGTCTCAAACTCCTGACCTCAGATAATCCGTCTGCCTCAGCCTCCCAAAGTGCTGGGATTACAGGTGTGAGCCACCACGCCTGGCCTTAATTTTTTATTTTTAGTAGAGACAGAGTTCCACCATGTTGGCCAGGCTGGCCTTGAACTCCTGACCTCAGGTGATTCACCCACCTCTACCTCCCAAAGTGCTGGGATTACAGGTGTGAGCCATCATGCCCGGCTTCTGTTCTCTCTTTCTCTTTCTTTTTTTTGAGATAGAGTCTCACTCTGCCACCCAGGCTGGGATGCAATGGCGCAATCTCAGCTCACTGTAACCTCTACCTCCTGGGTTCAAGGGATCCTTCCACCTATGCCTCCTGAGTAGCTGGGATTACAGGTGCCTGCCACACACCCAGCTAAAAATTTTTTGGTATTTTTAGTAGAGACGGGTTTTCACCAGGTTGGCCAGGCTGGTCTTGAACTTCTGTCCTCATGTGATCTACCCGTCTCAGCCTCCCAAAGTGCTGGGATTACAGGTGTGAGAGACTGCGCCGGCCCCATTCCATTTTGTATTAATGTCTTGAGAGCAAAGACAACCCTATAAATGCTGTAAAGGGATGTTAGGAGTTTAGTCTGGTGTTTTAGAAAGCAGCAACCATCTTAGTGGCTTACGTCAGCCATCCTGCACCCACTGGTTGGAATCTTTATTTTGCTCTTGGGAGATTCTTAGAAATGAGGAAAGAGTCAAATGAAATCCAAAAAACCCAAGGTAACAGTATTCACAAAAATTTTAACCCAAACTGGGCAGGTAGACCAAAGCAAATGTAAATTTACTAGAAGATATCCCTCACAAACAGAATGTAAATTCTTTTTTTCTTTTATTTGAGACAGAGTCTCGTTCTGTCGTCCAGGCTGGAATACAGTGGTATGATCTTGGCTCACTGCAACTTTTGCCTCCCAGGTTCAAGCGATTCTCCTGCCTCAGCTACCCAAGTAGCTGGGACTACCAGATGTGCCACCACGTTCAGCTAATTTTTGTAATTTTTAGCAGAGACAGGGTTTCACCATGTTGACCAGGCTGGTCTTCAACCCCTGACCTCAGGTGATCCACACACCTTGGCCTCCCAAAGTGCTGGGATTACAGGTGCAAGCCATGGTGCCCAGCCCAGAATGTAAATTCTGTAAAGATCAGAGTACTCAACCCAAAGGACACCTGTCTGTACATGAGAAAGGATTTATCAGAAAAGACAAAAAGTCATTTATCAGCTGGGTGGCGTGGCTTATACCTATAATCCCAACACTTTTGGAGGCTGAGGCAGGAGAATTATTTGAGCTTATGAGTTCAAAGACCAGCCTGGGCAACATAGCAAGACCCCATCTTCACAAAAATAATAAAAAATATTGTCCAAGTGTGGTGGCACACACACGTAGTCCCAGCTACATGGGAGTCTGAGGCAGGAGGATCACTTGAGCCCAGGAGTTTGAGGCTGCAGTGAGCTGCAATCACATCACGTCATTTGGGCATGGGCAACAGAGTGAGAATCTGTCTCAGAAAAAAGGTCTTAGGCCGGGCGCGGGGGCTCATGCCTGTAATCCCAGCACTTTGGGAGGCCTAGGTGGGTGGATCACTAGGTCAAGAGATCGAGACCATCCTGGTCAACAAGGTGAAACCCCGTCTCTACTAAAAATACAAAAAAAATTAGCTGGGTGTGGTGGCTCAAGCCTGTAATCCCAGCACTTTGGGAGGCTGAGGCAGGTGGATCACGAGGTTAGGAGTTTGAGACCAGCCTGACCAACATGGCGAAACCCTGTCTCTACCAAAAATACAAAAATTAGCCGGGCATGGTGGAGTGCACCTGCAATCCCAGTTACTCAGAAGGCTGAGGCAGGAGAATCACTTGAACCCAGGAGGCAGAGGTTGCAGTGAGCCGGGATTGTGCTATCATACTTCAGCCTGGGTGACAGAGCAAGAGTTCGTCTAAGAAAAAAAATGTTCTGAGTATGATGGTATGTGCCTATAATCCCAGCTACTCAGGAGAATCCCTTGGGCTCAGGAGTTTGAGGCTACAGTGAGCTATGATCATGCCACTGTACTCCAACCTGGGCATGAACACAAGATCCTGTTGAAAGAAAGGAGGAAAGACGGAAGGAAAGAGGGAAGAAGGGAATAAAAGGAAGGAAGGAAGGGAGGAAAAAGAAAGAAAGAAGGAAGGAAAAGAAAGAAAGAAAAAGAAAGGGAAGAAGAAAAAGAAAGAAAATAAATGATGGAAGAGAAAGAAAGAGAATGAAGGAAGGAAGAGAAAGAAAGGAAGAAAGAAAGAAAAAGAGAGAGAGAAAGAGAGAGAAAAAGAAAATATTAACTGGGCATGGTGGCATGTACCTGTAGTCCCAGCTACTTGGGAGGCCAGGATGGGAGGATTGCTTGAGCCCAGGGGTTAAAGACCAGCCTTAACATAGCAAGACCCTACAAAATATTTTTTTAAGTTAGCCAGATGTAGTGGCACACACCTGTAGTCCCAGCTACGTTGGAGGCTGAGATGGGAGGATCACTTGAGCCCAGGAGTTTGAGGCTGCAGGGAGCTATGATCATACTAGTGTACTCCAGCCTGGGCAACAGAGCAAGACCCTGTTTCAAAAAAAAAAAAAAAAAAACCCCAAATAGTTTTGGAATTCTGTCCTTGGCACTCTTGTTTCCTGAGTCTATATGGTGGTTTTAAAACACGTTTGCAAAATTTTTAACAATATTCCTATTGAAAAGATTAAGGCGGCCAGGTTCAGTGGCTCATACCTGTAATCCCAGCACTTTGGGAGGCCCAGGCGGGAGGATCACAAGGTCAGGAGTTTGAGACCAGCCTGGCCAACATGGTGAAACCCCATCTCTACTAAAAATACAAAAATTAGCTTGGTATGGTGGTGGGCACCTGTACTCCCAGCTACTCGTGAGGCTGAGGCAGGAGAATCTCTTGAACCCAGGAGGTGAAGGCTGCAGTGAGTGGAGATTGCACTATTGCACTCCAGCCTGGTGACAGAGCAAGACTCCATCTCAAACAAAAGAAAAAGAAGAGAAAAGATCAAGTCTAATTCCCCTCCTTTTGAATATGAGCTGGCCTTAGTGACTGAATCCTCACAAGTGGAATGCATCAGAAGTGTCACACCATGACTTCCAAGGCTAGGTTGAAATATAAAAGTGATAAAGTGTTCTTCTCTATGTCCCCTCTCTTTCTCTTTTTCTCTATCCCCCATCCTTTTCCCTTTCCTCCCTGTACTCACCCTTGGAACCCAGCCGCCATGTTGTGAGGGAGCCCAACACACATCCAAGTGTCCTGGTTAAAGTCCTAGCTACACCAAGTGACAGCCAGTATCAACTATAACATGTAAAGAGCCAATCTTCAGATGATTCCAGTTCCAACCTTCAGGCCACTCAGCTGGTGCCAAGTAGAGTAGGGATGAGTTATCCCCATGGAGCCCTTCCCAGTGCAAACTGTGAGAAAGATAAGTATTGCTATCTGAGGTCATTAAGTTTGGGGGTGGTTTGTGGCATGGAAATCAGTAATTGGAGCACTCCACTTCAAAGGTTCTCATCCGGTGGGTGAGGGTGGCCCTGCAGAGTGGCCTGTCGGGGCTGCTCATATTTCATCCTTAGGCTCCCCCTGCTCCGCTCTGCCAGATTCTTATACGGATGAGGGCCTGGACTGGGGAGAGAGAGGGAGAGTGCAGCAGAACAAAGGCATGGAGTTGACTGAGAAATTCCACAGGAGGCCGGGTGCAGTGGCTCATGCCTGTGATCCCAGCACTTTGGGAGATTGAGGCAAGTGGATCACCTGAGATTGGCAGTTTGAGACCAGCCTGGCCAACATGGCTGAACCCCATCTGTACTAAAAACACAAAAAAATTAGCCAGGCCTGGTGGTGGGCACCTATAATCCCAGCTACTCGAGAGGCTGAGGCAGGAGAACAACTTGAACCTGGGGGGTGGAGGTCGCAGTGAACTGAGATTGTACCACTGCACTCCAGCCTGGGCAGAAGAGCAAAACTCTGTCTCAAAAAAAAAAAAAAAAAAGCTGGATGCAGTGGCTCACATCTATAATCCCAGCACTTTGGGAGGCCAAGGCAGGAGGATCACTTGAGATCAGGAGTTCGAGAACAGCCTGGCCAACATGGTGAAACCCCATCTCTACTAAAAATATAAAAATTGGCCAGGTGTGGTGGTGTTCGCCTGTAATCCCAGCTGCTCAGGAGGCTGAGGCAGGAGAATTGCTTGAACCCAGGAGATGGAGGTTGCAGTGAGCCAAGATAGCACCACTTCACTCCAGCCTGGCCAACAGAGCCAGATTCTGTCTCAAAAATTAAAAAAAAAGAAAGAAACTAGGAAACTGGCAGGAGCTATTTCTGGGTACAGAAGGGTAAGGTGAAAAAACCAGCAGGAACCAACAGATGGCCAAAAAAGCCATCCCTAGTTGCCCTCATTGCTTATTATCGTAAGACACTCACCCGTGCCATGACGGTTTACAAATGCCATGGCAATGACCCAGAGGCTACTGCCCTTTTCCATACAGTGACCCAGAAGTTACCACCCCTTTCCTAGAAAGTTCTGAATAAACTGCCCCTTGATTTGCATTAACCTACCACTTAATTTGCATGTGATTGAAAGTGGATATAAATACAGTTGCCACCAACCCACAAGCCTGTCTCTGGGCACCCTGCCTATGAGTTAGCCTTCCTCAGCAAGGAGCAGCTCCAGTTAAATAAAAGATTTCACCCCTGAATTCTTTCCTGGGCAAAGCTGAGAACCCTCTTGGGCTAAGCCCCAATTCTGGGGCTTGCTTGCCTGCCTGCATTTATTCCAGAAAGTTCTGTTTGTCATTGTTGATGGGTAGAACCTTGGGCACTATCCAGAGTGTGGTCTTAGAACCAGCAACATCAAAGCCTGGTGCACTGGCTCACACCTGTAATCCCAGCACTTTGGGAGGCCCAGGTGGGCAGATCATCTGAGGTCAGAAGTTTGAGACCAGCCTGGCCAACATGGTGAAACCCCATCTCTACTAAAAATACAAAAAAATTAGCTGGGTGTGGGGGCTGGTGCCTGTAATCTCAGCTACTCAGGAGGCTGAGGCAGAAGAATTGCCTGAGCCCAGGAGGTGGAGGTTGCGGTGAGCCGAGATCATGCCATTGCACTCCAGCCTGGGTAACAAGAGCGAAACTCTATCTAAAAAAAAAAAGGAATCAGCAACAATGTCAGGATCTCCTACTCCCGGCTCCTGGCAAATACCCTTCTACTTGTTGTGTCTGTAGATGTATCTATTGTAGACATTTCACATGAGTGGAATCATGCCTATAATCCTTTGTGCCTGGCTCAGTTCAGGTGGCCTGATGCTTCAAGGTTCACCCCTGCTACTGCATGGCTCTTCTTCATGGCATGGATGGATTGCGTTTTGTTTATTCATCAGCTGATGGATATATGGGTTGTTTCCACTCTTTGGCTGTTATGAGTAATGCTGCTATGAAAATTCATGTACTTTTTGTGTGGACATGTATTTTCAGTTTATCTTGGTTATACACCCAGGAGTAGAATGCTGGGTCATATGGTAAGTCTATGTTTAACTTTTTGAGGAACTGTGGGTGGCCCAATTTACAACTACTAAGTTCATCCACTTCTTACTTTCTCCTCGGAACTCACACTTCTACAGCAGTGACAGCTTTCACACCTCCCTCGTCCACACTGTTAAGCACCACCACAAACTGGGCCACTGGGCAAAGCCTGGAGATCACCAGCCTCCTGCAAGGAAAGCACCAACAGGCCTGGTGCCATGGCTCATACCTGTAATCCCAGCACTTTGAGAGGCTGAGGCGGGTGGAAAACAAGGCCAGGAGATCAAGACCATCCTGGCTAACACAGTGAAACCCTGTTCTCTACTGAAAATACGAAAAATTAGTTGGGCATGGTGGCACGCACCTGTAGTCTCAGCTATTTGAGAGGCTGAGGCAGGAGAATCACTTGGACCCAGGAGACAGAGGTTGCATCGCCACTGCACTCCAGCCTGAGCAACAGGGTGAGATTCCATCTCAAAAAAGAAAGGAAAAGCACCAACAACAGGCATGGGGGAGGCACAGGTCCCGTAGGTCCTCCAGGAGATTGCGTCTGGCTCTCTTCCTGCCACACTCATGCCACCCATGCTGCTGAAGCCAAAACATCTCCTCCTATGTGACCAGAATTCTGGGTCATTTGTTGCTTTCTTTCTTTTTGTAAATTAAAAGAAAAAAAATTTTTTTAGAGACGTGATCTCCCTATGTTGCCCAGGCTGGTCTCAACTCCTGGGCTCAAGCGAGTCTCCTGCCTCAGCCTCCCAAAGTGCTGGGAGTACAGACATGAGCCACTGCACTAGACCTTTTTGTTTGTTTGTTTTGTTTTTATTTTTTAGGGACAAGATCTTGCTCTGCCACCCAGACCAGAGTGCAGTGGCATGATCTCAGTTCATTGAAGCCTTGTCCTCCTGGGCTCAAGTGATCCTCCCACCTCAGCCTCCCAAAGTACTGAGATTACAGGTGTGAGCCACCACACTAGACCACTTTTTTGTTTTACTTTTTAGGGACAAGGTCTTGCTCTGTCACCCAGGCCAGAGTGCAGTGGCAGGATCTCAGGTCACTGCAGCCTCAACCTCCTAGGCTCAAGTGATCCTCCCACCTCAGCCTCCCAAAGTGCTGGGATTGCAGGCAGGAGCCACTGTGCCTGGCCAGAGCAGAATCTGAACCCAGATCTAACCATCTCCAAAGTCCTCCATCCACTGAATGAATTACTTATTTCGCATGTCAATCCCATGAGACTTTTTTTTTCTGAGACAGAGTCTGTTGCCCAGGCTGGAGTGTAGTGGCATAATCTCGGCTCACCACAACCTCTGCCTCCTGGGTTCAAGTGATTCTCCTGCCTCAGTCTCCCAAGTAGCTGGCATTACAAGCATGTGCCACCACACCTGACCAATTTTTCTGTATTTTCAATAGAGGCGAGGTTTCACTGTGTTGGCCAAACTGGTCTCAAACTCCTGACCTCAAGTGATCCACCCACCGTGGCCTCCCAAAGTGCTGGGACTGCAGGCGTGAGCCACTGCACCCAACCCAAATAATACTAGTTTAGATAAATCACTTCATGAAGTGGGAACGCAACTGTTTGTCCCCTCCCACGTTGACCCAGCATTGCTCGTCATCTCTGTAAGACCACCAAGGGACCTGCCCTCCACTTCACGGACCCACTTGAAACCTGGTCCATGCAGGCTTGCTCTACCTTGGCTGTCACGTTCCCTAAGCACCAAGCCTCTCCTTTCTCCCACCACACCTGCTGGCCAATCTGATGGCACTGGAGCCTGCACCCTGGAGTCTGTCTCGGACTCCTCACCTGCCCCAACCTTACTTGGTTTCCTCTGTGATATTGACTTTGTCCACCACTTTTGCCAGCCTAGTCTGTCTGCCACGCCCTACCCATCCATCTTCTACCTTGGATCTATGCAACTGCCTCCCCTTTGTCTTGTCCCCAGGGTGGTGAGCCTCCAGGGTCTGCAGCCCCAGCTGCCCTGATCCTTTCCTTGTTAAGCAAAGGAAGATGTGTCCATTCTGTACGCACTGCCGATCTCGCTCCTCTGTCCAAGCATCTCCAGTCCTGTGCTACTGCCCTGGCCATAATTATTTCTTTGTTGAGATTTCTCCATGTTGGTCGAATTCTCAACCTCAGATGATCCACCCCTCTCAGCCTCCCAAAATGCTGGGATTACAGGCATGAGCCACCATGCCCGGCCAAGGGCCAAAGCCTTTACTGAGTCCAGGACATTCCCCAGGCAGGTTTCCCACAGAGAGTTCTACTTTATTATTATTATTATTGTTATTATTTTGAGACAGGGTCTCCCTCTGTCACCCAGCCTGGAGCACAGTGGTTTGATCATAGCTCACTGCAGCCTCGAACTCCCAGGCTCCAGCGATCCTCCCATCTTAGCCCTCGAATAGCAGAGACCTCAGCGTGTACCACCAGGCCCAGCTAATTTTCTTACTTTTTGTAGAGATGGGGTCTCACTATGTTTCCCAGGGTGGTCTGGAACTCCTAGTCTCCAGCAATCCACCCACCTCAGCCTCCCAAAATGCTGAAACTCCTGGGCTCAAGCAATCCTCCCTGCTAGCCTCCCAAAGTGGTGGGATTATAGGCATGAGCCACGGTGCCCAGCCCTGCAGGAGGTTCTGGCTGGTGGGTTAAAGCAAGCAGGGGCTAGGAGCAGTGACTCACACCTGTAATCCCAGCACTTTGGGAGCCTGAGGTGGGAGGATCACTTGAGCCCACGAGTTCCAGACTAGCCTGGGCAACATAGTGAGACTCCATCTCTAAATAAAAAAATATATAAATAAAAGCAGACATGAGTTCCAGGAGACACCCTGGGACGGAGAGGTGGGCACTGTGGCACACATGCAGCATCTGTGCAGAGGCAGGGGGTGGTCAGTGGGGGGAGGCAAACAGGTTGCATCTGTCCCGTAGGCAGGTGGTTACCAGGAGGTAGTTATAGAAGGGAGAGAGATAGATAGCTATTGGATGGATCACCATGAGGCACGGGGAGGAGCTGGAGTGCTTGAAACTGGCAAGGGTGGCTGGGCATGGTGGTTCACGCCTGTAATCCCAGCACTTTGGGAGGCCAAGGCGGGCGGATCACAAGGTTGGGAATTCAAGATCAGACTGGCCAACATGGTGAAACCTCATCTCTATTTAAAAATACAAAAATTAGCTGGGTGGCTCGTGCCTGTAATCCCAGCTACTTGGGAGGCTGAGGTAGGAGAATTGCTTGAACTGGGACCTGGGAGGAAGAGGTTACATTGAGCCTAGATTGCTCCACTGCTCTCCAGCCTGGGCTATAGAGCGAGACTCCATCTCAAAAAAAAAAAAAAAACAAAAAAAAACTGGCAAGGGTAACTAGACCCCAGTCCATAACAGACTGCTTCCATTATGAGAAAGCTCAAGTTATATTCAAGATAGTTGCCGAGGCAACATAAAATTATACGAACTCACTACAGTCTGATCTAGAAGGCTGAAATCTTTTCACTCTGCGATTCTGGCATTGGCAACCACACTTTCCTGGCCACAGGCAGGGTCCCCATCCTTCCTCTCTGCTTGACTGTGTCGGGAATGGCCCCGTTGTACTCACTGAACTGCAAGGAAGTGTTCCTTGATGCTTGTCCCTCAGAGGCTGTGAGTCCCTCCAGGGCAGAAAACATTTACTTCATTTCCATCTTCCTAGTGCCCTCAGCAAGAGCTTTTGATTGCACGAAGCTGAAGCTGTCTTTGCCTGTGTCCTTATTCTTTTATAAAATGAGGGACAGCAATATTATCTTTCCCCTGGTTTGTCTTGCTTCCTTTACTGGGCCAGAGAGACAAACCTCCCTCCACCACTGGGAACCCAAGCTGTGAGCTGGCAGGGACAGCTCCTCCCACACAGAGGGTGGGGGTGGGAGCCACCACTCATTCCTTTAAAAAATGACTGGACCTGCCGGCACAGTGGCTCACATCTGTAATCATAGCACTTTGGGAGGCTGAGGCGGGCAGATCACCTGAGCTCAGGAGTTCTAGACCAGCCTGGCCAACATAGTGAAACCCCATCTCTACTAAAAATACAAAAATTAGCCAGGGGTGGTGGCGCATGCCTGTAATCTCAGCTACCTGGGAGGCTGAGGCAGGATAATCGATGGAACCCAGGAGGCAGGGGTTGCAGTGAGCTGAGATCGTGCCATTGCACTCCAGCCTGGGCGACAAGAGTGAGACTCCATCTAAAAAACAAACAAACAAAAGACTGGACATGAACAAAGTGGTGATGGAAAAGATATAAATCTCCCAAACTTGGTGCAATTGGGGCAAACTTGAGAAGCACAGTGGATGCTGAAATCAGTGATTGTGGCTTCAGCAGGACATACCCGGGGGAGCGTTGGTTGCCCTGTAGAGCATTCAACTGGGAAGGAAAAGAACAAAATGGAAGTCGACATATGGAAGGCCAGGAATAGATCATTAACTAAAGTATGAGGAGTGATGAGGCATTTGGTGATCTTCTTGGCTCCACAGCTTGTGCCACTTCCTAGCGCACTAGGCTGTGCTGTTTCACCTGTGTGCTGCGGATGCCCAAAGAACACTTCCCAGGCACACACCGTGCACTGCCGTTTCATTCTCACAGCCACACGGAGGGGTCATTACAGCTATCACCTGCTTTACAGAAGCACAGAGAAGTAAAAGAACGTGACCAAGGTACTAGACTGGATTCCAGCACAGCCGAGCTCCAGAGTCTGTGCTCTTCACCAGCACAGCACACCGCCTCTGTCTTGACGCATTTGCAAAACACCTCGTGCGTGAGAGCAGATGACTGCCTGAACCTGTGTGCTTTAGGAAGGAAACCAAATCTGCTCATATTTTTAGATGAATTCTTCCTGACACAAAGCAAGAATAGGTGCATCCTGGTGGAAGAACCTCACCTCCTTCCCACTTTGACAGCAGCGTACCCAGCGTAGTTGTGCACTAGATATGGCTGATTCTAAGTGCTTGGATAGATGGGGAATTCATCCCTTTGTTAAAATACAGATCATCATGACTGTAATCCTAGCACTTTGAGAGGCCGAGGTGGGAGACTTGTCTGAGATCAGGAGTTCGAGACCAGCCTGGGCAACAAGGTGAAATCCTGTCTCTACTAAAATATAAAAAATTAGCCGGGCGTGGTGGCACGTGCCTGTAATCCCAGCTATCGGGAAGGCTGATGCACAAGAATCACTTGAACCTGAGAGGTGGACGCTGCAGTGAGCTGAGATCGTGCCACTGTACTCCAGCCTGGGCAACAGGACTCTGTCTCAAAAAAATAAAAATTAAATTAAAAAACACAGATCATAAGACTGATGGCATGAACTCTATGTGGCATTAAGATGCCAAATTATAAACCAGACTTAAGGCCATGCCAGGAAGGGTTAAATCACACACTCCTAGGCTTTATGCAAACGTACCCCTTAAGTCCAGGGGACCTGAGATGCTGCAGAAAGAGATTGACAAACCTAGTTTCTTAGAATCATTTAAAAGGAACTTATAAATTGTCTGTGCCTTGGGCAGCATTGAGACAAGATGGTGGATCCCCGCACCATTACCCTGCAAACGCAGGGCTTAGCAACTGTAGGGTAGGGGCGGTTTGGGAGGGATGTGCAGGGCGGTTAAAGGAGGACAACATGAAGGTCATTTGACCCAAGGGCAGGATTTACAGCAAGTACCTGCTCTTACACGGGGAACGAAGGATAAACCTGAAGTCTCAGAGGCCTTCCTGAAACAGGTTGATCAAAAACTAACATGGCAGGCCGGGCCCAGTGGCTCACGCCTGTAACCCCAGCACTTTGAGAGGCTGTCAGGCAGATTACCTGAGGTCAGGAGTTCGAGACCAGCCTGGCTAACATGGTGAAACCCTGTCTCTATTAAAATTACAAAAAATTGGCCCTCTGCTCCTCCTGTTTGACAGACAGCCGCATCTTGTCTCCCGTCGCCAGCCACATCCCTGAGACACCGTGGGGAAGGGGAAGGTCGGAGTCAACAGATTTGGTCGTATTGGGTGCCTGGTCACCAGGGCCACTTTTAACTCTGGTCAAGTGGATATCGTCACCATCAATGATCCCTTCATTGACCTCAACTACATGGTCTACATGTTCCAGTATGATTCCACCCATGGCAAATTCCATGGCACCGTCAAGGCTGAGAACGGAAAGCTTGTCATCAATGGAAATCCCATCACCATCTTCCAGGAGTGAGATCCCTCCAAAATCAAGTGGGGCGATGCTGGCGCTGAGTATGTGGTGAAGTCCACTGGCGTCTTCACCACCACGGAGAAGGCTGGGAATCACTTGCAGGGGGGAGCCAAAAGGGTCATCATATCTGCCCCCTCTGCTGATGCCCCCATGTTCGTGATGGGCGTGAAACATGAGAAGTATGACAACAGCCTCAAGATCATCCTCAATGCCTCCTGCACCCCCAACTGCTTAGCGCCCCTGGCCAAGGTCATCCATGACAACTTTGGTATCGTGGAAGGACTCATGACCACCGTCCACGCCATCACTGCCACCCAGAAGACCGTGGCCCCTCCGGGAAACTGTGGCGTGATGTCCGTGGGGCTCTCCAGAATATCATCCGTGCCTCTACTGGCACTGCCAAGGCCGTGGGCAAGGTCATCCCTGAGCTGAACGGGAAGCTCACTGGCATGGCCTTCCGTGTCCCCACTGCCAACCTGTCAGTGGTGGACCTGACCTGCCGCCTGGAAAAACCTGCCAAATATGATGAAATCAAGAAGGTGGTGAAGCAGGCGTCAGAGGGCCCCCTCAAGGGCATCCTGGGCTACACTGAGCACCAGGTGGTGTCCTCTGACTTCAACAGTGATACCCATTCTTCCACCTTCGATGCTGGGGCTGGCATTGCCCTCAACGACCACTTCGTCAAACTCATTTCCTGGTATGACAATGAATTTGGCTACAGCAACAGAGTGGTGGACCTCATGTCCCACATGGCCTCCAAGGAGTAAGACCCCTGGACCACCAGCCCCAGCAAGAGCACGAGAGGAAGAGAGGCCCTCACTGCTGGGGAGTCCCTGCCACACTGAGTCCCTCATCACACAAAATTGCCCCTCCTCACAGTTTCCATGCAGACCCCTTGAAGAGGGAGGGGCCTAGGGAGCCCCACCTTGTTGTGTACCATAAATAAAGTCCCCTGTGCTCAGCCAAAAAAACCAAAAAATTAGCTGGGCGTGGTGGCAGGTGCCTGTAATTCCAGCTACTTGGGAAGCTGAGGCAGGAGAATCTCTTGAACCTGGGAGGCGGAGGTTGCAGTGAGCCAAGACTGCATCACTGCACTCCAGCCTGGCCAACAAGAATGAAACTCCATCTCAAAAAAATAAATAAATAAATAAAAGACCAGCTTGGCTAACATGGTAAAACCCTGTCTCTACTAAAAATACAAAAATTAGTCAGGTGTGGTGGTGTGTGCCTGTAATCCCAGCTACTCAGGAGGCTGAGGCAGTAGACTTGCTTGAACCTGGGAGATGGAGGTTGCAGTGAGCTGAGATTGTGCCACTGCCTTCTAGCTTGGGCAACAGAGTAAGACTCTGTCTCAAAAAACAAAACAAAAAAAACTAACATGGCAGATTAGCATCCAAGATGGAGTTGCTTTTGCCTTCACACTCCACCCTGCAATCTGGCTCTTACAATCTCAGGGCCCTCCTCTTCCATGATGGTCCCTAAGTCTTTAGGAAGGATGCATGATACAGTATAGTTTTAGCAGCAGTGAGCTGGTGATGGAAGGCAGATTGGGCCCAGTGGAATTGAACCCAAATGAGGCAAATTCGCAGGCTCTGTTGAATCATCTCTAGTCTTTGAAATACCACTCAAAAGTCAAACAACAAGAGATATACAACATTAATAATTTAAATAGCAGAAATAGAGTGCACACAAGAATTACAATGAAAAGAGAATTTTAATGCCAAAACAACACCTCCAAATAAGATTTCGTCCTATTAGGGAGCCAACTAAAAGCATCATGAAGAAAATTAAAGCCCAGATCTTCTTTAGAGACTTATTACAGCCAGGAAATAATAATTCAGGATTAGTCCAAATTTTATTCGAATAATAAAAACTCAAAAACAATGGTCAGGTCTAGAATCTAAATTTTTCTCTCTCCAGTTTCTCCATTTCTACCAAGTACAAGTAATAGCAGAACCAATTTGCTTGCAAGAAAAATCTTAGTCCTATTATATTTGGTCTGGTTATCTACATAAATTGTGGCAAGAATAGATATCAGATATGTAAGATTTTTAAGTTGACTTCAGAAACCTTTTTCTTTTCTTTTTGAAATGGAATCTCAACTCTGTCACCCAGACTGGAGTGCAGAGGTGTGATCTCGGCTCACTGCAACCTCCACCTCCCGGGTTCCAGTGATTCTCCCACCTCAGCCTCCCAAGTAGCTGGAATTACAGGCATGCACCACCATACCCGGCTAATTTTTGTATTTTTAGTAGAGATGGGGTTTCACCATGTTGGCCAGGCTGGTCTCGAACTTCTGACTTCAGGTGATCTGCCCACCTCAGCCTCACAAACTGTTGGGATTACAGGCTTGAGACTCTACACCCGACTCGCTGGCACTTTTATAAGGAATTTTGGATTTGGCTTTTTTTCTTTCTTTTTCATTTTTTAAGACGGGGTCTTGCTCTGTCACCCAGGCTGGAATGTGGTGGCACAGTCTTGGCTCACTGCAGCCTTGATGTCCTGGGCTCAAGCAATCTTCCAGCCTCAGCCTCCCAAGTAGGTAGTACTGGAGGCATGTGCCAGCATGCCTGGCTGATTTTTTAAATTTTTATTGAGGCTTTCAGATATGATTGGACTGTTTTGAGGAATTTAAGTTCCTGGGATTACTGTAACCTCAAGGCTTCTGGCCTTGAGGTTACAGACTAGGCAACATAGCAAGACCCTGTACAGGTAGGCTTCAGGCTATGCTTGAATACCTGTACAGATTCCTCTCTTCTCAAGGTCCCAGAATATCTTGAGGTTCCTGGGCCTGTTAGAAAATGACATTATTTATCACAGGTCAGGAACCTTGTAAGGGAACCATTTAGACAAGGTACCAGGCCAGTCATTCCACAGGGCTTTTGATCAGCTCCATAAAGTCAACTTCAGGCCAGGTGTGGTGGCTCATGTGTGTAATCCCAGCACTTTGGGAGGCCGAGGAAGGTGAATCACAAAGTCAGGAGTTCAAGACCATCCTGACCAACATGGTGAAACCCCGTCTCTACTACAAATACAAAAATTAGCTGGGCATGGTGGCATGCACCTGTAATCCCAGCTACTCAGGAGGCTCAGGCAGGAGAATCACTTGAACCCGGGAGGTGGAGGTTGCAGTGAGCCAAGTTTGTGCCACTGCACTCCAGGCTGGGCGACAGATCGAGACTCTGTCCAAAAAAAAAAAAAAAAAAGTCAACTTAAATTCCTCAAAACAGTCCAATCATATCTGAAAATAAGTCATTCCAGTCAAAGCCTTGGAAAAATAATCAGTGTCTCCAACTGGGTCCTTTTACAAAAAGAAGCAGATTCTTACTGAACTTATGGAAATAACCATATTGCCACACAATAAGAATACTCTGCCGGGCGCAGTGGCTCAAGCCTGTAATCCCAGCACTTTGGGAGGCTGAAGCGGGTGGATCACTAGAGGTCAAGAGATCGAGACCATCCTGGTCAACATGGTGAAACCCCGTCTCTACTAAAAATACAAAAAATTAGCTGGGCATGGTGGCGCGTGCCTGTAATCCCAGCTACTCAGGAGGCTGAGGCAGGAGAATTGCCTGAACCCAGGAGACGGAGGTTGCGGTGAGCCGAGATCTCGCCATTGCACTCCAGCCTGGGCAACAAGAGCGAAACTCCATCTCAATAATAATAATAATAATAATAAAAAGAATACTCATGAATAGTTTCCAAGTTTTGGAGAATTCAAGTAAAGAGAAAGGCAAATTTTGCTCACAAAAATATCAGTTACTCAATCATTGTAAGCTATAAATAGCTCAAAGGGAAAAAAATATTTTCTTGACTCTTCTTGAACCAGAGTAAAGCCTTCCAAACAGGTCCATTCACCTTGGAACTGCCGTCCACAACCAAGCAGCTGCTTGTCAGTCAGGTGAGAACTGTTTATTGGGCACTGTAGAATCCAGCCGCTCCTCACACAGTTCCAGAGCCAGTTCTAGGGGAAAAAGAGGCTTGCACTCCCCAGGTAGCAGAATCCTATATAAACCATTTCAATGTTTTGGCTTTTTTTTTTCCAAGATGGAGCCTCTCTCTGTCACCCAGGCTGGAGTGCCGTGGTGTGATCTCAGCTCACTGCAACCCCCACCTCCCAAGTTTAAGCTTCTCCTGCCTCAGCCTCCTGAGTAGCTGGGATTACAGGCACCCACCACCACGCCTGGATAATTTTTGTATTTTTAGTAGAGACAGGGTTGCACTATTTTGGCCAGGCTGGTCTCAAACTCCCGACCTCGGGTAATCCACCCACCTTGGCCTTCCGAAGTGCTGGGATTACAGGCGTGAGCCACCGTGCCTGGCCCCATTCAGTGTTATGATGGAACTCTTTTGGGCACTACTATCCCTTTTAGCATAAGGGTGAATTCCATTCACGTCCCATAGCAAGGCAATAAATGCCTCTCACATGGAAATTCTCTATTCCAAAGTCCCAGTCGTCATTGTGGAGAGATGCTGACATGCTTTTGCCATACGCTGCAGTAAATCCTCCACAAATAGCTGCCTAGAGAGGGTTCCTCCTACCCAAACTCCAGCTGCTACTCCACATCCTGTGGGCTTGGGCAGTCTTACTGGTTCTCATTTAGCAGTTCCCATCGATATTGCTTGAAGAGCCTTCTGTTTTGCAGGAATAGGTAGGGGTCACATTCCCCGGTCAGATCCAATGTTCATTCCCATAAAACGTTTAGGCAAAGGAGACGCAACTACTTTTTGTGAAGCCTGTTTAAACATTTCAACTTTCTTAATCCCGTCAACCTCTATATTTTAGTTTTAGGAATTTTATTTTCCACCCCCCAACCATTTTACTCTCTCATGAGAAAGGATTTGGGTTCCCAGCAGGCGCTGAGCCCAGGGACTACAGCCCTTTAATCAAAAAATTTTTTTGAGACGAAGTCTTGCTCTGTTGCCTAGGCAAATTAAACATACACAAAATTCTTCTTCTGGCCTTATGATGCATTTGACAAGATCTCTAGTTATCTACTCAAGCTAACCCATGAAATAGTAGATGAGTAGTACTACAAAGGCTGTCCAGATCTTTATCTGAAAGAGGCCGAAAAAAAGAAGACCAGAGTATTTTGTGAAAATCTAAAGGGAGAGTAAACATTTCACTCACTACCTACCACATGCCAGGCCTACACCAGGGGACTGACCAAAATTGGTGGGTCTTATGATCTCCAATTTACAGATGAAAAAACTGAAGCTCAGTGGGTTACATGGTAGGGAAGGGCTGGAGCCAGCGGTTAAACCTATGTATCTGTTAAAAGAAACACTTAAGGGCCGAGCGCAGTGGCTCAAGCCTGTAATCCCAGCACTTTGGAAGGCCAAGGCGGGTGGATCACAAGGTCAATAGATCGAGACCATCCTGGTCAACATGGTGAAACCCTGTCTCTACTAAAAATACAAAAAATTAGCTGGGCATGGTGGCGCATGCCTGTAATCCCAGCTACTTAGGAGGCTGAGGCATAAGAACTGCTTAAACCCTGGAGGCAGAGGTTGCAGTGAGCTGAAATGGTGCCACTGTACTCCAGTCTGGGAGACAAAGCTAAACTCAGTCTCAAAAAAACAAAACAAAGCAAACCAATTAACTCCTTTTGGCCAACTTTCAATTTTTGGCCAAAATTCTGTGATTGGTATAAGAGGAGGTTATAGTCTATTTACACATCCAGTTAGGTCACTGGATGAGGAGAAACCTTTAGGCCTAAATTAAAATATGTAAGGAGGCAGTTTTAGGCTAAACTTAATTTAACAATTATCTTGGCCGGGTCAGGTGGCTCACGCCTGTAATCTCAGTACTTTGGGAGGCCAAGGCGGGGGGAGCACCTGAGGTCAGGAGTTTGAGACCAGCCTGGCCAACATGGTGAAACCTTGTCTCTACTAAAAATACAAAAATTAGCTGGTCATGGTGGTGGTAGCCTGTAACCCCAGCTATGTAGGAGGCTGAGATACAAGAACTGCTTGAAATCGGGAGGCAGAGGTTGCAGTGAGCTGAAATGGTGCCACTGTACTCCAGTGTGGGAGACAAAGCTAAACTCAGTCTCAAAAAAACAAAACAAAGCAAACCAATTAACTCCTTTCGGCCAACTTTCGATTTTGAGCGATTGAGCAAAACTTTAGGCATTGACATCACTCTGTCACCATCATGAATGGACTTTTTTGGTCTAAAATCCCACTGGGAAACAGAGCAGAGGGTTTTGTAAGGTGGGAATAAGGAAACAGAACAGTAGGGAAAAGCCTGGTTATTTCAGGTTATTTTTTTGGGAAGGGTTGGAGCAGAGGGGAGTTCCTTATCACGCTGGAATTTCTTGTTTTCAGGAGGAAAACAGTGGTCTATTTTGAGGTCTCTCTGCTTTCTTTAAAGTTTCAGTTTGATTATGTAGCATGTAGCATGGGTGACTCCATTTTGCTTTGGTCTATTGGGGGTCTAGTTCAGGAGCTCAGGCCAGAAAAACAGCCTCCCATAACTTTATTTAACATCTCTTTGTTATTGAAAAAGGAAATAAGAAAAACCATCTTTTTATAATGCAACATTCTGTCCACCAATGCTTGATACATGACTATAGGTTTCTGGCTTAAAAAATGATTAACAAGGTACACTTACCTACCCTGAATCTGGGCCCCTGCAGCCTCTCTTGTACTACTGTGGCCACCCAAGCTGCCCTGAGGTATCCCAATGAGGTGGCTTACATCTGTAATCCCAGCACTTTGGGAGGCTGAGGTGGGAGGATCGCTTGAGCCAGGAGTTCAAGACCAGCCTGAGCAACATAGTGAGATCTCAGCTCTACAAAAAATAAAAATACAGAAATTAGCTGGGGGTGGTCCCAGTTACTTGGGAGGCTGAGGTGGGAGGATCAATAGAGCCCGGGAGGTGGAGGCTACAATGAGCTGTAATAGTGACACTGCACTCCAGCCTGGGCCACAGAGTCAGATTCTGTTTCAAAAAAGAAAAAAATAAATAAAAGTGAATAAGAAAGTAAAGAAAACCCAAATACAAACCCTGCAAGAAGAGAGACAGAGGTGTGGAAAGACAAAGGAGGAACAGTTAGCAGAAGTCTCGCTGTAGGCTGGACCCAAGGTGCTGGATTCACTGGACAATCATCCAGGGATATTTACTCTGTGCCAGGTGTGATGCCAGGCGCTGGGAATACAAAGATGACTCAGCCATGGGCCCTGCCTTAGAATGAGCTCTCGGTTTAGTGGAGGAGGCTTGCATGTAAACAGATAAATTATAGTGTAGGGTAATTAGAACCATAATAAAGTAATATAGGAAGCACACAGAAGCCAAAGAAAGGAATGATAAATTGTATTTGAAGAGGAGGAGCTGGGAGGAAAAAAGAGCTGAGGCCTTTCTGTGAGAAGGCTGGGTGGTGGTGGTACCCTCTGAATAACCTGGAGGCTGCCAGGTGGGTAGAAGGAGAGCATTTTAGGCAGCTGGAGTCTCTGCATGAGCAGAGTTGAAGATCAGCCAGTGCAGGCCACTCTGGGGCTGGCATGTGGGGCACAGAGGTAGCGGGCAGGACTCCCCTTGGCAACCTGGTGAAGTCATTTCTGCCCACTACACTTCAGTTGATTCATTAGAGCAGCTAGGAGTGAGCAGAAAAGCAGTGCTCAGGTTCGTTTTTGCCATCAGACCCTTCGTCCCAATGAAAACATCGCAACACGCACAAAGATCAATGTGTAAATAGGAAGCAGAGAAGTTTTTCTTTCTTATCAGAAAACAGATCTTCCACTGTTTGGAAATATATTTTGAAACACTATTTTTTTTTTTGAGATGGAGTTTTACTCTTGTCGACCAGGCTGGAGTACCATGGTGCAATCTTGGCACATTGCAACCTCCGCCTCCTGGGTTCAAGCGATTCTCCTGCCTCAGCCTCCTGAGTAGCTGGGATTATAGGCATGCACCACTACACCTAGCTAATTTTTGCATTTTTAGTAGAGATGGGATTTTACCATGTTGGTGAGGCTGGTCTTGAACTCTTAACCTCAGGTGATCTGCCTGCCTTGGCCTCCCAAAGTGCTGGGATTATAGGCATGAGCCACCACGCTTGGCCTTTTTTATTACTTTATTTTTTAATACACAGACAGGGACAGGGGTCTCACTGTGTTGTCCAAGCTGGACTTGAACTGTTGGCCTCAAGCAATCCTCCTGTGAGCCACTGTACCCAGGCTTGAAACATTTTCTCTCTCTGTCTCTTTTTCTTTTTTTTTCTGTGAGACAGGGTCTTACCTGTCGCCCAGGCTGGAGTGCAGTGGCATGATTGTAACTCTCTGCAGCCTCAAATTCATGGGTTCAAACAATCTTTGAACTCAGTCCTCCAAGTATCTGAGACTATGGGTGTGCACCACTACGGCCAGATAATTTTTTTTTTTTTTGAGATGGAGTCTCGCTCTGTTGCCCAGGATGGAGTGCAATGGTGCGATCTCTGCTCACTGCAACCTCTGACTTCTGGGTTCAAGCGATTTTCCTGCCTCAGTCTCCCAAGTAGCTGCAGCAGATTACAGGTGTCTATCACCATGCCCGGCTAAGTTTTGTATTTTTAGTAGACATGGGGTTTCACCATGTTGGCCAGGCTGGTCTCGAAATCCTGACCTCAATGATCTGCCTGCCTTGGACTCCCAAAGTGCTGGGATTACAGGCATGAACCACAGGTGGTTGAAACCTTCTGGATGGAGGTGGAGAGGTAGATCTCACCATAGGTCTGAAATTGCATTAAGACTTTGAAAGGAGGGCAAAGCTGTTTCACCTGAGACAGGGAGGAGCTTTCAGGGCAGTCCCTCCTCCACTTCATCAAAATCAGGAGAGAGCAATCCTTCTAAAATGCAAACATGAACATGTACCCCTCTGTTCAAAACCCTTCCATGACTCCCTTCACTGTGAGAAAAGAAGCCAAACTCCTAACCACACTTCCCAGGCCCTGCGCCCTCTGCCCACTGGCTGTTGCCCAGGCTTCATGGGTCGGCTTCCCTCACTTCCTTCCAGCCAGCTTCCTCTCTTCATGATTTCCAAATTCATCACACCCACACTTCCAGCACAAGGCTTTGGAAGGCGTTGTTGCCTCTGCCTGGACCACGCTTCATCCATAGCTGTCTCCATCACTTCAATCTGGCCTCTTCCCAAACAATACCTGATACACCTTCCAGCTAAAAGAAAAAAAAAAAAAAAAACAGCTTCCGCTGGGCATGGTGGCTCACGCCTGTAATCCCAGCACTTTGGGAGTCCAAGGCGGGTGGATCACCTGAGGTCGGGAGTTCCAGACCAGCCCGACCAACATGGAGAAACCCTGTCTCTACTAAAAATATAAAAATTAGCCAGGTGTGGTGGTGAATGCCTGTAATCCCAGCTACTCAGGAATCTGAGGTAGGAGAATAGCTTGAACCCAGGAGGTGGAGGTTGTGGTGAGCTGAGATCGAGTCACTGCACTCCAGCCTGGGCAACAAGAGCGAAACTCTGCCTCAAAAAAAGAAAAAGAAAAAAAGCTGCTTCCCCCTTTCTCCTAAAGCTCTCACTCTGTTCTGTTTATTTTGTACTGCTCACTGCTCGCTGACATACTGTGCAGTAACTTATTTATTAATTTGCCTGACTGCCCCCACTGAAGTGAAAGCTATGTTGGGGCTCAGAAAATGATACCCCAAAACACAGCACTTTAACATTTTGAACTAAAGCAGCAGCCTCAACCTCCCCGCTCTGCTTCTGTCTCTCCCAAAGCACATAATGAGGCTTTCTCTGATATTCCCTCATCTACTTTAAGACTGGACCTGCCGAAGAGAACATCATTGCCTTCTACTTCCCCCGCCCCACTGAAACCTTGTTATCTATGGCAGAAAGTAAGACTGAAGAATGTGGCCAGGCGCGGTGGCTCATGCCTATAATCTCAGCACTTTGGGAGGCCGAGGCAGGTGGATCACCTGAGGTCAGGAGTTCAAGACCAGCCTGGCCAATATGGTGAAACCCTGTCTTAAAAAAAAAAAAAAGACTGAAGAATGCAACCAAACGCAGACAGACTTCTTCACAAGACTGTCTGTGTCTTGGGTTCATTCAAATTCCAAAGAGAATAATTTACAAGTTAATTCCCGTTATCTCGGGTTCATTCATTTATTTTTTTTTCTTTAATTTTTTCTATTTTTTTGAGACAGAGGCTTGCCATGTGGCTCAGCTCACTGAAACCTCTACCTCCTGGGTTCAAGCAATTCTCCTGCCTCAGTCTTCCAAGTAGCTGGGATTACAGGTATGTGCCACCATGTTCAGCTAATTTTGTATTTTGTATATTTTTTTGGAGACAGAGTCTATCTTTGCCACCCAGGCTGAAGCGCAGTGGCACAATCTTGGCTCACTTCAACCTCTGCCTCCTGGGTTCAAGTGATTCTCCTGCCTCAGCCTCCCCAGTAGCTGGGACTACAGGCACACATTGCCATGTCAGGCTAATTTTTTGTATTTTAGTAGAGACGGGGTTTCACCATGTTGCCCAGGCTGGTCTTGAACTCCTGAGCTTAGGCAATCTGCCCACCTCAGCTTCCCAAAGTGCTGGGATTACAGGCATGAGCCACACTGCACCTGGCTAAGTTTGTATTTTTTTTTTAGTAGAAATGGGATTTCACATCTCAGTCAGGCTGTCCAAACTCTTGATCTCAAGTGATCCACCTGCCTCAGCCTCCCAAAGTGCTGGGATTACAGGTGTGAGTCACTGCAGCCAGCCCCATTCATTTCCCCACAAAATCATATACTACCTCTCAACATCACTACACTGGCGTTTCCCCTCCCCTGTGAAGGAGGAGGCTACATAAGCGTCTGGACCTCATTGGGTTATTAGGTCATTGTTCTTCTGTGGTTCCCTCATGCTTGCACATGTGACATAAATTTTGTACACCTTTTTCTTCTGTTAATTTGCCAACTGTCAGTTCCCTTTTGGGGAGCGCTTATAGGGCTAGAGAGCAGAGAAGAAGCTTTCCCTTGGACCTACAGCTCCTTGAGGTCGGCTGCTGACTCTTTGCCTTGCTGTCTCTCCAGCATCTAGAATCGTGCCTCCAACATAGAGATGCTTGATAAACATGTGTTCAGCCAGGCGCGGTTGCTCACGCCTGTAACCCCAGCACTTTGGGAGGCTGAGGGTGGATCACGAGGTCAAGAGTTTCAGACCAGCCTGGCCAACATGGTGAAACCCCATCTCTACTAAAATACAAAAATTAGTCAGGCGTGGTGGTGGACACCTATAATCCCAGTTACTTGGGAGGCCGAGTCAGGAGAATCACCTGAACCTGAGAGGCAGAGGTTGCAGCGAGCTGAGAAAGGGCAGCAGAGCAAGACTCCGTCATCTTGCAAAAAAGAAAATTAAAAAGACAAAAACAAACAAAAAACATGTGTTGAGTCGCTTTCTTTTGAGTGGCAGAAAGCTCTGGAAGGGCTTTGGACATTCATGCGTGCAGGCCCGGGAATAGAATGAGGTTTAAGGTAACTTCATCTAGAGTTTAAGGGGCAGGTAGGCCCTCAGCTGGTACATGGGTTAAATGTAAAGTAGCTCAAACAGGATCTGATGAAGCAGAAGCAGAGATGGGGCCTGGTGTCTCACTGCCTTCACGTTCTTCCTTCTGCTTCAGTCCCCACATCAGAGTGCACCCTAGAGGTGCCGGCATTAGTGATAGGGCAACTTTCCTTGTTTCCGGGATGGGCAGAAATGGGCCTTGAGGTTCCTCCCACCACAGGAAGGCCTCTCTTGCACTCTGGAGACTGAGGACTTGCTATAGTCGAACAAGGAGCAGTCTCTGGCAATGGAGACGCTGGCTCTC